AACACACACACACACACACACACACACACACACACACAGGAAAGCAGGTAAGAAAGCAAAATAATTCATACATCCTACACACATCCGGCAAAAAAATTGACCGTAGACATCACCTGGAGTATCGATCGCTGTGACTGTCGGGGTAGGGGTTGTATCAATCAGGCTTGAGCTAGCGGATGTATACATAGTACTGGTAGGCAAGACAGTGATGTTGGTAGGGTACACCGATGGGTCTTCGGGCAGCTTCTCTGGCAGCACAAGAAGGTCTCCCACCAGGTAGGTGAGGTACATCTGGTAGTAGACCGGGTCCCCAAAGCGGCGGATGACGCTGACCACTGAGTCCGGCAGGCCGTCCAGGTCCGTACCGCGGAACACCAGGTAGAAGTGGATGCGGACTGGGTTAGCCCTGTGGGCGAGGAGGCCAGGAGGACATGAGGAGAACAATTAAAGACGTCGTAGGTGTGGAAAACTATCAAAGCAGCGCACTATCACTATCAGAGCCGCGCACTTTTGAGAAAATATCTATCAGAGCCGCGCACTTTTGAGAAAATAACCATCAAAGCCGCGCACTATCACTATCAGAGCCGCGCACTTTTGAGAAAATATCTATCAAAGCCGCACACTTTTGAGAAAATAACCATCAAAGCCGAGCACTATCACTATCAGAGCCGCGCACTTTTGAAAAAATATCTATCAAAGCCGCGCATTTTTGAGAAAATAACTATCAAAGCCGCGCACTATCACTATCAGAGCCGCGCACTATCACTATCAGAGCCGCACACTTTTGAGAAAATAACTATCAAAGCCGCGCACTTTTGAGAAAATAACTATCAAAGCCGCGCACTATCACTATCAGAACCGCTCACTTTTGAGAAAATAACTATCAAAGCCGCGCACTATCACTATCAGAGCCTCGCACTTTTGAGAAAATAACAATCGGAGGTCATAGGCACTTTTGAGAAAATAATTAGCAAAGCCTCCCACTATCACTATCAGAGCGCGCACTTTTTGACGACATCGATACGATTAGACTACCGATTCCATCCAATGGTTCCGGTCCCCTTGATTTAAATTACTCTGCAGATCCCCCATTTCAATATATTCGTCTTTCTGGAGATGTTAATCGACTTACAGACCGTTTCTGAGCTGAAACCAGAAACACAGACCAAACAGAATGACACTGCCAAGAAAGAGGAAGGGAGAAGAATATGCTATAAGCAAATATACGCAGACGGGCAATTCTCTCAGCTTCATTTTTTATCCTGACTGAGCAAGAAAATTCTGCCCCTACACTTCAAAAATGTCCTCTGTCCTGTAGATAGGTTTTTATACTTGAAAAGCCAATTCATTCAATACAAAATCTAATTCATACTGGTCACAAGCCCAGTAAAACGCTAACGATTTTTATAACATTGTTGGTTGGTTCTTGATTTGGGTATCAGCAATCTAATTGTATCGATACCGTCAAAAAGTGCGCGGCTGTGATAGTTTTTACTTGAGAAGGCGTGGCTCTGATGGTCTCCCGAGTATGTGTGTGTGTGTGTGTGTGTGTGTGTGTGTGTGTGTGTGTGTGTGTGTGTTTGCGTTTGGGTGGGTGTGTGTGAAGGGGAAATGGGGTACCCGAGGAAGTAGTGAAAAGAGACTGTGTTTGGGAGGGGGTGGGAAGAGGTAGAACAAGTGAAAGGAGACATTGTGGACAGGGGGTGCAGGAGGTGAAAAGAGACGTTGCAGGTTTGTTTGTTTTAATTGTTTTTGTTTTTGTTTAAAAAAAATTAATTTATTGTTTATATATTTATATATTTCTTTCTTTCTTTCTTTCTTTTTGAGGGTGGGGCAAGTATTGAACTAATATTTTACGATAAGAAATTTCAGCAACTTCAACAATGGTTGGTCAAGGTTACTTGGGGAAGGGGATGTTAAGCAAAGTCACCACAAAATCCAGAGATATAGCCACCGAGAGGGGAAGTAAAATGCGGCGTTTACAGAAACATCTACAATCCACGACGGTACCTATTGCGAGAGAGTTTGGACGATTTTGATAACTTTTAGTATGAGTTTTTTAGCACTTTCAACACAATTAAGTCGTATAAGTGTCGAATATTAGAAGTGCTAGTAAAGAGTAACATAGAACGAAAAGAAAGAGAAGGCTGGGATAAGGACGATAGATATTTGATATGAAAGAAGGAGTAAACTACACCAGGGGAGCACCCGCTAACCACCCTCGACAGCGGACGCTAAATAACAGGAAGTGGGTGGTTGGTGGGTGCTCTGATGTAGTTTGCTTTTTCTTTCCTATCAAACATCTATCGTCCTTATCTCCCCTACTTCTTTTTTTATGTTTGTTTCTCTCTTGTAACACCTCTAATCTTCTGGCGCTCATATGACCTTATGCAGTTGCGAGTGCCGTTAAACCTCTACTAAGACTAAAAATAACAGAAGAGATCTCAGCAGAGACAAGGGGCTTTTATTATGTTATCTCCTCACGTGAATTGATCGACCCCACAGTCAAAGAAGCGGTCAGCATAACGAGTTTTGGCGTAAAACATCCTCATCTGGGAAAACAAAGAACATTCTCATTTGTGACAACAAAATACATTCTCATCTGTGACAACAAAGAACATTCTCATTTGTGACAACAAAGAACATTCTCATTTGTGATAACAAAGAACATTCTCATTTGTGATAACAAAGACCATTCTCATCTGTGATAACAAAGATCATTCTCATTTGTGATAACAAAGAACATTCTCATTTGTGACCCCGAACAAAGATATCCTTATTTGTGAAAACTGGTTTTTTTTAAAAGCACGTCTTTGAAAACAGGAGAAAATCTGGTCTTATCTTTAAAAACACAAAAAAGGACAGCCTTGCTCGTGAAAACAGAAAAAAAGACATCCTCATCTATGAAAACTGAACGGAGAACCCTCTAATGCGTGAAAACAGGAAAACAAACAATAGTCGGCGTGAAACTGAAAAAGAGCATCATCAAACATGGATGTCCATCTGTGACACAAAAGACATCCGTACCTCAAAAAACAAAAGAGGAAAAAAGAATATTCGCATGTTTTAAACTGAAGAAGGAAAAAAATCCGTGACACATATAAATGAGCATCTTTATCTGTGGTAAAAAAAAGGATAAATAATATCCCCATCTGTTAAAAAAAATATAAGCATTTTCTTCTTACATGTAGAAGCCTGGGTTTTTTTTTCTTCTAATTGTTCTTTAGTGAAGCGAACTCAACAATAGAAGAACTTCTTCATCTTTAGAACAGAAAAAGGGCAACCTCTTTTATAAACAGAAAAAAGAACAGACTCGTCTGTGAAACAGAAAGAAGAGGAAAAGAGCATCAACAGCAGAGAAGCTAAAAGAACATGGTCGACTGCACAACAAAAGAGAAGAAAAGAAGAACATTATCATCTGCAAAACATAAAAAGAACGTTCTCTTCTTTCAAACAGAAAACAGAACGACATACTCCTCTGCAAAACAAACAACAAATACCATCTGTGAAACAAAAGAGAGAACATTCTGGTTCATAACACAGATAATCAGAAAAAAATGACATTGCTTCTGGGAATCAGAAAAACGCCCTTTCTTATCAAAAGCAAACGTGCAATCATAAAAAATCGGCTCTTCTTAATAATAATAATATGGGAAGCATGCTAACAAAATGAGTTACTTTTCGGATTCAAGACTGATGGAAAAAAATATAGGCATATCACGCTTATAGGTGAAGTTTTTATAATTTATTAGTATGGAATAATAAAAAAAACAAACAAAAAAAACAACAACAACTTATTATAGTTAAAAAATGTGGCATTAGTAAAAATTCTACAAATTTGACCTTTGTGTCGATTTTTGGCCAATATCTCCATTTTGTGGATTGCGAGAAGTAACTCATTTTTTCAGCACGCCTCATATATAATAATAATATTATAGTTTGGGCACTGAAGGATTGTAATTTTGTCAATATCGATCGGGGCGTGGTAGAAAATTGCAATCAACGTAACAGAATTGGGATAAATTAGTACTACAGTGCGGTCGAAATTTCGTGGCGCAACTTATCCTCAAACATCTCTTTAAAGGATGAATCACTGTTTCTCATACTTAGCACAGCATTTTGTATCAATTTGTCTCAACCTAATCATATGTCAATTGAAAACCTTTTCTTCATAAATTTGAATAAAATACGAGAAATCTCCACCACCCAGATAATTGTAGTGTTCACAGCACGTCCTGCTCCCAACATACATTTTACATACGCACATGGCCTACGTCACAGCTGACCAATGACACTTTTAATAATAAAACTTGTTCCAAAAATTAATTTCTTAGTGAACATAATTTTGCTCTAAAGGTTTTCAAAACAAGTGTTCAATAAGCATAAAGTCACGAAGAGAAAAAATGACGGACTTGCTTTTAAACGCGATATTGCCCCAGCTGTAAACTTTTTAAAAAATCTGTGGAAACCATCAACTGGGATTTTTTTATTAGTAATTTATTAAGGAAATTTAAAGAATACAGTGTACAGGTGTTTGAAAAAATATCCATCTGTTAAAACAAATTGATATAAGTCACTGTGAAAAATTTGGAGAATGTATATTGGATTGTTAAGGAGATAATACATGTATTTAACAATAAGTTGCGCCGCATAATTTTGACCAAGCTATAGAAATAAGGATAATTTTGTCGGAATGGCTTGTATAATTTTGGCGGAGTTTTTTGCTTTGTTTTTTTAGGTGGGGGGGGGGGGGGGGGGCGTTTGTTGTAATTTTTTGTTTTAGTTTGTCATTAGTTTGTTTGGATTTTTGTTGTTGCTTTGTTGTTGTCGTTGTTTTTCTTTGTTGTTTTTTGCATAGACCATAAAAACCCCAGTTCTTTGTATGCTTCTGCATCTTTTAAACATTTCTTTCTTCAGTGTTTATAATAGTTAGGTGTACTCCGTCTACTTGTCAAACTGTAAATTTATCTACATGATATGATTCTGTTGATCTACTTGTCATTTTGTCTAATCTTTCATTTGTATCGTTCTTTGTTCCGTTTCCTCATTTATCTATTCGATGCCAGTAACTCGTGCTTCATGTTTTGTTTCATTTCCTGTCTATAATCAACCCGTCTGCCAAGCATCATGTGGAAACCTGACGCTCATTAAAGTAATGAAATCGGAGAAACCGTAATATTCTTACCGGTTCGCCAATTATCATTTTGTTGTTTTTGTTATTTTGTTTCTTTTCCAATTTGTCTCGCTTATCGTCTACCAATCTGACAGTCTATCTCTTTCCGTCTCTTTTTTTCTTCTCTCTCACAGGAAATCATTTGGATGTTTGATGATGATAGATCAACAAGGTTCGATTACTCAATATAGTTTTAGACTTAAGTCACGACATTGGATGTTTCCAAAGTAAGTCGTGAAAGAAAGCGCTCACACACAAAGAGCCTATAAGTTAATTACATTTTACATCTCGTCACATGGCTGGATTATCTCCATGACAACAGAGACAATGTGATTCGAACGCATGGCTTCTGCAATCAGCATTAAAGAGGCACAAAAGCCTGGTCTCACCTACCCTGAAGTACCGCACCACGATAAAATAGTTGGCCAACGGTAACTTTTAAAAATGACTTCTATAGCGCCCAATCCCAGGTGATTCAAGGAGCTTCACAAAAACTTACTGAATCAGAAAAAATTGTAATGTGTGGCAACGTGGTGGAACCAGGCTGTCGTCAAAATAATCAAAGTGAAGAAACTTGCATTTTTCCGCAGGTTTGTGAATTGTTATCAAGTTTTCATTTTTTGGCTCAATATCTTTCATGCCCTTTAAAGAACTCATTTTTGTGTGGATTTTTCTGAAAAACGTTGATTAAAGGCACAAAGATGTACATTTTCAGTTACCACGGACTCTTAAGCTAAGAAAATAACTAATCTTTGGCGGCCATTTTCTCACTAATTTTATCTCTGAAAACAGGTTTTCCCACCTCCTTCATTCGCAAATATCTCGACTTGTATTCAAGATAAATGGATATTTTTTTCATCTACATAAATACAAATGAACAAGCTTTAATATGATACCTATAACTCTACATACCCAAAAATTGACGAGAGTCTGATTCCACCACGCTGCCTCACAAATTAACGTTTCCTACACACTGTCCCATTCAACGTATAATAGCTCAGTCCGACGTTGTACTTTATGTCCTTGGGAAAGACACTTGACACGAATTTCCCATTTGGCTCCGTCCTTTCCGAGATGGACGTGAAACTCGGAGGTCCCGCCTCTTAAATAACCCGATAGTGTTGATAAGGGCATTAAACCAATCATATATCGCCATTCTTTAACGCACAACAATTCTTTCAAGAACAAGTACACTCGCAATCTGATGAAGAACACATAGACACAAAGACAATTACTGTGGCTTCTGGTCACACTTGCTTTTGGAAGATGCAAAGAACTAGTTAGTATGTTGAGATTTCAATAAATGTGTTTTTAGATAATATTTGCATTATCATAACCGCAACAGTAAAAGACAAAACCATATCAGTTCCTATGTAACTCCAGTGGGATGGGAATAAACTCAGTGAAGAAAGAATCAAATGAAACTGCCGGCTGGGCGCAGAGCACAACTGGGTGGCCTAGTGGTTAGGCTCTCAGACTCGCAACTTTAAAGTCGAGGGTTCGAAACCCGTCAGTGGCCTGCAGTTGTGTCCTTGGGAAAGGCACTTCACAGGAATTTTCCTCACTTCACCCAAGTGGGAATGAGTACCTAGCTTTAGACAGCAAAAGATCTTGTCAGCGCGTGTAATCCACAGCTTGCACTGTATGTTTCCCAACAAGCCGAGAATGTTTTTGAGTTTTTCTGGGCTCTGCTGGGTAATAACAGTTGTGAAGCGAACAGAGCCTGCTGTTGAGGATAGATTAAAGAGCTATAATAATATAGATAGAAATATTATTATTATTATTATTATTATTATTATTATTATTATTATTATTATTATTATTATTATTAATTATTATTATTATAATTATAATAATAATAATAATAATAATAATTATTATTATTTTCATTATTATTATTATTATTACCATCATCATCACCATCATCATCACCATTGCTACCATTATTATTATCATTATTATTATTACCGTTTTGGTCGATGTACTGGGGACAAGGAACATTCGAGAAGCACGACAGAAACAACTGTGTCATGTGGATGCGCTAGGCTTCCCTTTGTTTTCTTGTCTACAACTCAACGACAAACCAAAATAGTTGGGCACTTTGTACTTGGAGACGATCAGTAACTTTTTCTCTGTAGGCTTATTGTTCCGATGTATTTACATGTCTGACACACAAAGAAAAAAACACACCTGCAAGGTTTCGATTCTGCCTTTGTTCGGCGTTATGAAAGACACAGATAGGTAAAATCATAAGCGAAGTATACATACGAGGGGCATACCAAAAGTTGTTTACCTGACCATGAACGGATAAAGGTAGAAAGCTGAAATTTGGTAATAAGCTTTGTCCTTTTTTATGTAGTAGCCTCCCAGAATTATACAAGTGTGCCATATGTGTATGACATTGAAAAGACCTTGAGAATAGAGGACTCTCCCTAGGTAAAAAAAATCAGCCCTCTACCGCTTCTTGACCCTTTCATCACTTTTTTAAATACCAAAGTGTTATCACAGCATAGGATGGGCAATGAGTTCCGTATACGACATGTATCTCCGTAAAAATATCCTGTAGTTGCTTGCCTTGCCAGAACAAATACTTCATTACTGCACTGCACCCAATTTTCTCCCTTTTTATGTTGAAACTGGAGAACAACATACCCCTGTTCACTTGTAGCGCGCTACTGGTAAAACAAGAGGTCTGAAATTCGCCAAAAAATTGCAAGCAATCTAGGATGATGATCGATGGCCTTCACCCCAAATTTCAGCGTTTTATCTTTATTCCTTCTTGGTCAGGTAAAAAACTTTTGGAATGCCCCTCCTATGTCATTTCGAAGGCGTGGCTCATACTGTGGGTTCATGAAAATCTGCAATTTATTAGACGTAGATCTACATCCTGACGGGCAAAACGACATACTAGTGAATTGAGCAGCCGGGGGGTTGGAGAGGAGGGGGGGGGGGGTGAACATCTAATAAATATGGATACCAGGCACTGTTCTTATCCGGATAGATTCTTAGTTATGAGAGTTACCCTTTCAACCCCACTCATATATATCCCCCCCCAAACCTCCCACGCCATCTAATCCGCCCCCCCCCACCTCTCCCATTTCCTGACAACTTACTATTGATCCTTATCCCCCCCCCCCACCTCATACACACATACACAAACACGCGCACGCTGGCCACATCTAGAGCCCCGCCTTCACCTCCTATCCCCCTCTCCCAGTCTCAAATTACTGGTTCTCTTTCAAGTGCTAGATAGAAAACAGACCTCGGTAATCATGGATCGCCTCTCATTTCTCTGCTTAGGTGTTCTTCAAAAACAAACCCATCCTTGTCTTTCCCCATCATTTTTGTGTTTGTTTCGGGATAGCTGACTATTTAATATTACAGCCTTGGGCACTCTCTGAATAAAGTGAGGTCACATCAAACTTTCTGAATTATTTCTGACTTTTGGAGGAATAATTCGATTTCACAATTATCTTTTTTCCGATATTTCGAGAAAGCTATGAACGCCACGAGCCGTCGCTAGAAGAAGACGAGATTTGATCCCATGTGGGGAGGTTTTATTATTTTTAAAGACATTTTTCGTTTTTCTTTTTCTTCTTTTATTAATCCAGTATCTTCATCTGCCTGCTCTAAAGAGTACTCTTACTGAACTAGAATTTGCTCTGATAGGTTATGTTCCACGAAGCATCCCACCTCCTAATTCATTTCAATTAGTGTAAAACGTCACAATCACAATAATGCTTTATCAAGAACTTGAGTGTAGACCAACGAAACTACTGAAGGAAAGAAAAAAAAACCTGTGTGTACTCATTTCTACTTAGCGTGAGTTGTAAGTGTTATGACCCGTGCTCCCAACTAAACTTGGGGTTATTGGGGGTTTTTTTCGAGCGGAAATTATGTCTCCCAAAAGAAAAAATCTCCTTTTGCTTTTACATATGGCGTGGGGGGGGGGGGGTAAATGTGATAATGTTTGTTTGAAATGTAGTGTCCGAAGCCGCCTAAGGATATAATTCAAAATGATTTTTTAAGATAAAACCCAGCGGTTCTTCCTCCTGAAGTCTATATTCCTAGTTCCCATACCAAGAGAGAGGGGGGAAGCGTTGATATCCCCAGCATGGAAACAGAGCTTGAGTTGTTTTAGAGAGTTTTTACTGCTCTTCAAACATTTGACTCAACAACCCTATTGGAGATGGAGGTTAAATTCAGGGGTCCAGCATCCAATATAACCTGAAGCGTTGAAAGGGGAGTCAAACCTGTACAACTGCGCTCCAAAGAGGTTGTTTGGTAAACCTTTCCAGTAATTTTTCACAATCAGTTTGTGTTGTGTGAGCTCATTTGACCTTATGGAATTGCGAGTGCCGTAAAACTTTAACCAAACCATGTACAAAATACTTCGGTTAAGTTGAGGATATAGACACTGTAACTACCATGAGGAGACCGTTGAACATCTTCTCCTTCACTGCCCAAACCTGGCAGTTCTTCGACGCAGGTTGCTACACACACCTACAGGCTTACAAAGCCTGCTCATATAACTCTGGCGTTGACCAAATGACAAGGACATGTGGTTACTTGAGGGAGGCATTGCGCTGCAAAGAGCAAAATGCTCGCAGCTAAAGGGATTTGAAAACAACAACAACAACAACAAGTTGAGGATGACTCACGTCTTGGCAGAAGAGAAAGGCGTGGTACTGGAAGGCAGGGGTTCGCTGATCACTGAGCTCAGAGCTGTAGGTCAGGTTCACCACCCGGAGGTTGGTCCGCAGCTCTAGGCCGTTAGCTGGCAGAGTAAAGAAAGGAAAGGGTGTACACGAAAGAGGGGGGGGGGAAGAGACAGACAGACAGACAGAGACAGAGAGTGAAAGAGGGGGGGGGGGATACATGAAGAGGAGAGAGGAAAAAGAGAAGAGTTGTAAATTGGAAATCGTGAGAGTATCAATTGTGAGGCTGCGTAGTGGAATCAGGCTGTCGTCAAAATAATGAAATCGAAGAAAACAGCAGTTTTCTCCCTGCCTCGCAATTTTTATCAAATTTTGTTTTTTTGGCTCAACACCTTTTATGACCATTTACAAACACATTCCTTTGAGGATTTCACAGAAAACAGTTTCCATGGACTCTCCAGCTTTGGAATTTACCAAGCTTTGGCAGCCATTTTCTCGCTAATTTTACCTCTTAAACCAGGTGATCCCCACCTCCTTCAATCCAAAATATCTCCACTTCTATTGAAGATGGATGCGTATTTTTTATATTGAAAGCAAGACAAATTAACAAGCTTTAAGATGATACCAATAACACAATATGCCCAAAAATTGACGAGAGCCTGATTCCACCACGCTGCCTCACAATTTTAGAAGCTTGTAGACTCGTATCTTCACTTGGAGGTTTGTTCGCAGATCTAAACCGTTAGCTAGAAGAGAAATGAAAAAAAAGAGGAAAAAAGTAGAGAAGAGTAAAGTAAAGTTGTTCCTGCATCCGATCCGGACATTGAGGATTGCCTTGTTAGTGGGATAACTTCCTGGGCCTTCGGCATATTGTGGCAGGGTGGTCAGTTCCTTTTAAGTAAGTACAATTGTTAAAAGAATAACAGTTTTTCCCCCCTGTAAAAGTTTCCGTACTGGGATTAGTACGTGTGCATTTTTATCAGTTTGCTTTGATTTGTCTCTATCTAATTCATTTACAATTGACAGATCTATTCTTGTTTATTTCCCCCACAATCAATTAGCTTCGAATTTTACTTCACTATTAAAAAGACAACCTTTTCTCCTTCTTCAAGCTCCAGATTTGAGCGAACATTGGCGATCACGGCTCACTATTCATGATCTCTATTCGTGAGCTCTCTGAAAAGAATATCATTTATTGTCCAGGTTCATCCATGTTCATGCTCTAGCAAGCTAACCTATTCTATCCTCATCCTCGTTAGCTCTTGTTTTCAGCAGTGAGAGCAATATCATCATATTCTTTTTAGTTACTGTAAGTTTTCACAACCCATTGACACAGTTTGTGCAGATTTCCTCAAAGTTATTACCTGTATTACCTGTCCTGGGCAACAACGTCATTGCACACCGGACAGGTCCATAAGTGCTCAGTTCCCCCCAGCACCAAAGCCCGCAAAAGGTAAAAACGTATATAAATTGTATAATAATTGCTGAAATTAAAATTATTAAAAAAACAGATCTTTAAAAAAAATACTGTCATGGATCTTTTGAAAAGAACATTGTGGAATGCTACATCCTCCCCACATTCATATATGGCGCAGAGACCTGGACTTTAACTAGCAAAGAAGGAAACCAAATAGCTGCGTTTGAGGCGTGGTGCCACCACAGACCATCACTTATGTATACCGAGAAGACCCGAGAAGACCCGAAAAGACAGACACATTTTTAGGTTTGTTACTCTCTTGTAACACCTCTAATCTTCTGGCGCTCATATGACCTTAGGCAGTTGCGAGCGCCGTAAAACCTCTACTAAAAAAAAGAGTAAGGAGGATGGACAACATTAAAACATGGAATGGCCGGGGTAAAGCAGAATCTACAGAGGTAGCTGACGGCCGTGACGGAAGAAGGGTCATTACACGTCAACCTTCAGGATCCCAGGATATCGTGGATTATAGACACACACCTTTGTTATCCGCATGCAGTCCTTTTTTTTTACTACCCGACAGTTTTAATAATAATAATAATAATAATTGCATTTATATAGCGCATATCCCTGCTCAAGAGCAGGCTCTGTGCGT